AATGTCAAGAGAAGGGACGACAACCGGATTCCGAAGCAACTTCTCTATAGAGAACGTGTCCAGGGAAAGAGATCAAGAGGAAGACCAAAATTGAGGTACATACACCTGCAAAAACAGCTTATCCAAGCTTGGAGTAGATGTTAGCATCTGAGAAGAAATAGCCGAGTACAGGAAAACACGGAGGAAAATGATAAATGAAAGAACTATAATGCCAGAGAGCAACCTTAGAAACAACCAGGCTGAGAAGCGCCAACGACGAAAGGAAAACAGCGGAAATACAGAGCTTTCATCCAAGTCACTGACATGCAAGCACTGCGACAGAATCTGTGCTTCAAATGTAACAAAAATTAGTCATGAAAGATGCTGTATGAAGACAACCTTGAGACCATCTTAAGCTAAATTGACCGTCAGCATTGACGAAAAGAGCCACACATATGTATATATTATATTCTTTGTAATTGTTTGGGCAGTGTCGTCTCTATGGAAAACGGTACTTATGGCAGGCACTTGCAAAGAAAAGGAGAGGGGGGGAGAGAGAGGGAGAGAGAGAGACAGGGAGAAGGAGATAGAGAGAGAGAGAGAAAGAGAGAGAGAGAGAGAGAGAGAGAGAGAGAGAGAGAGAGAGAGAGAGAGAGAGAGAGAGAGAGAGAGAGAAAGAAATCAATAGATGAATAAATGGATAGATCGTACATGTAGAAAGACAGAGAGACAGACAGACAGACAGATACAGAGAGAGGGAGAGAGATAGATAAAGTGAGAGATAGAGAGAGAGAGAGAGAGAGAGAGAGAGAGATAGAGAGAGAGAGAGAGAGAGAGAAAGATAAATATCTAAAAGGACAGTAGAAAGATAGGATGCTAGACAAACACAGAGATTGAGAGAAACGACAGACAGACAGACAAATAAATAGATATATTGATAGATAACATACCGCGACCTTAGTGCTCTCTTGTCCTATCTCCATTTGTAATAACAGTGAAAACAGTTCATAACAAAGAGTGAGCTTTAGAAGAAGTCACATTTTCAATGTTAAAAAAAAATGGAGATAGGACAAGAAAGCACTGAGGTCGCGATACCATGAGTAGTGTCATTTTTGACAATTTAATTGATGATAAGAAGACATTATGATATTTGACCCTGGCCTTGTGATAGCACCAAAGGCTTTCAATTAAATAATTCACAGAAGGATCCTACCAAAAGCAGAAAGTCTATTTTATAACAGAATCTGAACGAAGCATAAATTAACAATTAACAAAAGTGTGGTAATGATAGAAGGTCATCTTATTTCAAGATGAATAAATTTAAAATATTTGAATGAAACCTGTTAGGCATCATTAGAACACAATAAATATGTTCCTCTGTCATCAGCATGAATCCAAAATGTGTTGAAAGTGCATTTTATGAGATTGAAAACATTTTTCTGATAATTCATCGCCAGACCAGGAAATTTTTCTGATGTCTTTCCCGTGAATTGCCTTAACTCAAACAGAAAAAAGAAACCAAGTAACCCATTAAAGCTGTGAAGCATGTAAAAAAATGTCCTATACAATCCACATGTACAGACAGGAATACAATAAACAAGAAGCAAATACACCTTATAGAGTGAGTCAGCTCAAACCGAAATCAGCAGGACGACCTGGTTAAGAAGGATTACTCAAATAGAAAAAAAACCCAGATAAACAGATCGGGGATTTCATTTTCTTTAGGTTTACTGCTGTTTCTGATTACCCGCATTCCATAAAAGTTTAACGTGAGTCCACTATTATTAAAGAAAGCAAAGTCAAAATCCATACAAAAAAGGTGAAAGAAAAACAATTCTAAACACTTTTTGGGGGGCTGCCTTTAATAATAATGGAATAAAAAAGTTCAAGTGTGCATGATACATAAGGAAAAGACCTGATAATTTCCGTTTTTCATAGAGCACAAAGGTTCTGAGAATTATAAATCAAACAGGAATCAGAACAGGAAAACAGGATTCTCTAGAAAAGCTTGAGCCAAGTTATTAATGCATTTTGTTTGTTTCTTACAAAGATCAGTGAAACGATATTCTGTTTTTGTATTTATCCTACAAGAATAAAAATTTGAACAAAGTCGTATCAGCTGAGGTTAAGCTCTACATTGTTTTATCACAGGTATTTGAAAAATGTATTTAGTTTTTTAAGTAGGTAGCATAAACACGGAACGTAAGCCGAAACGTAGCCTTCCGAGTGCAAGGTTTCAGTAAAATTGGGTGATTCAGACATATCTCTTTCTTTGCTCTTTCGCTATAAAACATAAAACGCTTGTATATCTGCGATTTGTGAGCTGGAGAATAGCCGTGGAAAGCAAAACCCCTCGCAGTCAGAATGTGAGGTTGGCCAGTTAAAAAATTGACACCCATGCATTCGAATGCTTCGCGTAAAGATTGAAGATTAAATACTGTCTTTTCATTAGTGGAGAACTACAGAGCTTTGAATGGCGTTTCTTGTGGTATATCTTTGGCCTTTGGCATTCGATTAGAAAGCCTGTAAAATTAGCCTTATTTTCAAAGACCATTTTTTAAAACAAAATATGTACATGTAAAATAATGGCCCAGAAAAGCTTCCAACAGAAAGATCAGTTCATGGTCTATTAGAATAAAGTCATCGGTTTGGAATTATTTTGCATCAATCCCTCCGCGAAACTCCGAAAGCACAGGGAACACTCTGTATACTGCAGTATAGAGCCGATTTGCTCACTGCGGGGGGCCGGTGGGGCGCCACCCGGGACAGCGCTCAGTTTTCAGTCTTGAAAAAAACTAGGCTCCATATATCTATGTTATAGTGACTGTACTCTGTTAATGCGGAGGTGTTTGGTGCACTAGGTAGCTTCCATTTTTATTACCTGTCAAACATAGGGTTGCAGCCAATTAGCGAATCTAGCAATATTTGATTACATTAAAACAGCTGCCATTTCCTTAAAAATTGACTGAGAGGTAAAACAATACTACTAAAATTCTTAGGAGACATACGCTTTTCATGGAACAGATACATTTGGTATATAGCTACTTTGAAAATTTAGTATCTGATACCTACAGCTTTAAACATCATAGAAAAATATATACAGCAAGCACTCTTTGATAAGCAACAGCCATCCACACCATTATCAACACAGGAAGTGACACAAGAGGAAAACAAATTTCACATTAGCTATCACCAGACTCAGCAAACCGTTTCATTCATCAAAATCAGGGAAAAATTAGTTTCTCTTCTTTAACAAACTTCATCAGTAAATGCAACCATTTTCACAAACAGACTTTTTTTAAATATGAGAAACTGTTACATCGATGAAATCAAAACATAAGCCCTCCAATAGATACAACAGATAATTGTCTTTCATGAAAAGTAAATGCAGCTTATTCAAATCATAAAAAGCTAGGCTGTGCAAAAACAAGATAACAAGATAGAAATAGAAAGAAAGGTTGGATGGAAGAGTGAAAATTAAAGAGATCCAATGAAGGGAAGCTGCAATTGTTACATCATCTATTGTAATAAATCACGAAACAATACTTGTTAAAAATTTAATTAACTGCATCTATTGTAATAAATCATTAAACAAAATTTGTTAGAAATTAAATTAACAAGTTCGTTTTCTCTCTTGAAGTTCTGAGGGCCAGGCTCATTGGTTTCTTTAGGTCAGAGGTTAACAATCCAACATTCTTTTTCCTTTATTCAAGAATCCATTTAATCCTGCGCAACTTTTTGCACTTGGCCCCTCTGAAAGAACTTCTCGGCAAAAGTCTCAGCATCTGCCACCCCTTCACAGTAGTACTGCCAGGACTCTGGAATCTGCTCTGCACCGTACAGCGCCCCAGCTATCGCAGCCGCCATGGTTGCTATGGTGTCCGTATCACCACCCAGGGATATTGCATAGAGCACTGTGCGTTCAAATTCGTTCCGGCCCTGAAACAGAAAATTAAAGCACAGCTAGCAGAACCATGGATGGATGGATGGATGGATGGATGGACCGACGGACGGACGGATGGATGGATGGACGGACGGATGGATGGATCTCAGCTCATGTGGGAAAACTCCTTCCCTTATACTACATCTACCTGAGGCGAGCATTTGGTGTGCAAAAGATTAAAGGTTACTCAGGATGAGGGGTGCTCTCAGTCCTGTAGGGTTAAGGAATCACTGATATGCACAGAACAAAAATTGATAGAGAACTGTAATGGTCATAGTAAGAAAGAACTGTTGAAATGTAAAGGACTGCCTCGTCAAAAAAGACCAGTACTTCTAAAAGTATTTCTCTCAGCTTTGGCTCGAATAAAAATTATCTCAGTCTCAGTTGGGCACCCCAGATTATGTGTTTTACTGCAAATATAATTTTTAAAGTTCTGAGGGGGTCAGCTATAAGATTCTTTATCTATAAAGATAAAATAGAACACACACATAATAATAATAATAATAATAATAATAATAATAATAATAATAATAATAATAATAATAATAATAATAAATGACATTTATATAGCACTCAACCTCGAATAAAGTACACAGGCTCTGAGCGCTTTACAATACAGTACAACATTCAGCTGACATTTGAATGAATCAAAAGATTTGATTTCTCTCAACGTACTTGGTAAAGCATTCCAGATCTTGGGGCCTTGGTATTCAAATGCCCTTTCACCCATTGTTTTAAGTTTCATATATGGTAAAATAAATTTCTTTTTGTCAGCTGATGACCTTAAACTGCGAGTTGGAATGTACAGTCTTAACAGATTTGATAAATATGATGGTGCATTATCATTCAAACATTTGTGACATATGGTGGCCAACTTGTAAACAATCCTGAGAGCGATTTTTTAAACTACTACTACATGTCACTCAAGGACACATGTTCCTTTTAATAAAAATGCAATGCTGACTTAAAAATTACACCAACAAAAATTACTGAACATGTAACAAGAGTATTCCCTTCATATGACTAAATCTTTTGCAATTAGCCAGTGCGGCTCTCGGATGTGGCCTTGCTGGACCAAGAGCCACAAAATAGGGCTTGAGTGGCTGGCCATCTACACTAAATTCTCGGCTGATCAATGTTTTCGAAATAATAGAATAGACTTCCTGTTTGCGGATATGAAAGAAAAGACAGCACTGAAAGAGGCGATTTTTTTGTCATTTCAGTGAATTTTTCTGTTCCCTCCGAAACGTAAAAATGAAAAGAAAAGTGCTCCCCTGACTTCAGTATATTCTCATATTTTCACTTTTATAATAGGTGCACATACATAACTTTCAGCATTTCTTTGTATTACTTGAGGCCACCTAATTGGGAAGTGTGAATGATGCTGTTGTTGTACTTTTTTAGATATGACCTTTCAAAGCTGGAAAATTGTTTATTTCATATGACACCTTCAAAATTGCATAATCACTTTTACAAGCCCCAAACTATTATAATTGGAATAAATCTTTAATATTGTATCACCATCTGATAGATTACTTTTTAACCTTCAGTTTGATGGGCCATATGATATGGTTTGTGTAAGTTCAGTTGGATATTTTGACATTTTCCTTTGGTGGGGTAGGGACGTAAAAATAGGTCAGAGAAGAGCCCTGGGCCAGTGGTGGATTTTCTCCTGGTAGGAAAAGAGTTAATCTGTATATTTCTTTTAACTGATTCCGTCCATTCGGCCGCTGACAGCGGCTCTGAGTTTTTCCGCTGCCTCCATTCGGCCGCTGTGAGCGGCTCAACGAAATCCGAAACAAAGGTGCACTTTTTAACATAGTTCCTACTTTTTAAGTTGTCGAAAGGAAGTAGAACTTGTGAACAGACCTGACCTCAATCTCTGAGCGCCAATATCTAACAAAACTCCGCGAAATTCTTGCAAAAATCGTTGTTTTGTTGTTGCGATGTAGGCTAGATCTAAGGGTAAACAACACAGAGCCTGGTATAATAAAAAGGCTCTTCAAAGAAAGATGTTCAACTAAATTTTGAAATTCTTGCATAAATGTGTGCTAGGGTGATATCGCTACAATGTTGTGTTGATTCCTATTGATTATAAGGACTTGTAGAGCTGAGAAAATGCGGTAAGTCGAAATTTTCAAAGAGCTGTTGCACAATTTTTTTTTCTCATTCGTTTTTGTCAGAAGGAAAATGCAATGCAAACAGATTATAGGTAATTGTTATTGATATAAACAGATTCTTCTAATTGTTCCCATCAGTTTGGTATATAACAATACCTATTAGAGTGACTTAGAGCTTCACAGTAATGCATTACATAGATGCACCCCAGGTCTAAAACTGAACAGGGAAAAATAATTTTGTCCAGAGGCTGAAAAAATCATGGAGGGAATCAGTTAAAAGAAAAAAAAAAAGCTTACCTCCATATTTGGATCAGGCGTTACAGCCTGTCGGACAAAAGAAAGAATTGCAGCTGGGACAGACCCAAGAGCAGACACATCATTTCCTGAAAACGACAAAAAACAAATCTGAATGTGGATGTGGATATTTACTTCTCTTTTTGCCATTAGGTGAAATGATAAAGTAACAATAAACTTCTTGATGAAAATAAATTACTTTAACATAATTTTTCACAACATACTTGAAGTTTTTGAGAATGATAAACTGCCTCTGTTCAGCTAGCTTCATAAGTTTTCCATAGACAAAAAAATGCTAAGTAAAATACATTAGCCTATTATCTAAATTGTGATAATCAAAGGTGACTAGACTTACAAAAACAGACCCTAAAAAGCTTTATTTATTTTACTTGTCTTAACACCCCCATCCATACAACTGAGATCCTTCAGTAGTGGGATTCCGACTCTGCCTGTCAGGGCCAACCCAGGTTGAAAGAGATACAAAACCTCAACAGAAAGACAGCCGACAAACTACATAAAAATTTGTTCCTGTTCGAGAATTAAACTCAGGTCTGCTGCCTGCAACAGTGAAATGTTTACCACTACAAAACTGGGAAGCTGTCAAAAAAGATAATAACAGCAATGATGCCATATTGTTTGAGTTATTAAACATAAAATTAATGTTGCCCCCCCATTAAAAATTTTCTATGATAAAAAGTTCACAAAACTGCATTACTCCCTCGGTTGTTGATTTTGTTCTTTTTAAGTAGGCTACATCAATTTCATGGAGAAAGAAAAATCCTGTAATCCATTTTAAGGCACAGTCTGTTATCCTTCACATCAATTCACAACCTGAGTAAAATTTGCCGAAATCCAAATAGAGATTGTCAGGACAGCAAACAATAAAATGAACAACTCTGTTTTGTGAACTCTCTCTTCACAACTCAAAGGGAAGCAATCCTGATTTTCTGGTCTACTCTGCTGTTTGTAAAATATAACAGCAACAGTAACATCCCTTTCTGTATAACACTGAAGCAAGTGAATCACAAAACAGAACCAAAAGATCAGAACAATGCCATTCATTTCCTTTCCTTGTTCCAGACCCGTAAGCAACCCTTTTCCCACCAAAATTACTAGTATAGATCTCGCTCACTTCATATTTGGATAATAAAACCATACTACTGATCTATTCCGTTTTCATAATTCAGTCAACAGGTCAAACGACAGTCAACAATGTAGTCGACAAAAAAAAACAATACAAGTTCAAGCAATTCATCAAGAACTCTTTAATTCATTGCTGAGTTACTTATCACAGTAATATTCTTAACTTACTGACAGCCAGGGGCTGAAATTCCAACCTTTCCCCGGATGCCAGCATTTCAATGGTGTTTTAGAACATCCATTGAACAATAACCATTCAAAGTTGAAATACATAATTTTCACTGTTAATCCTTTTTATGTGGTGAAAACAGGTTTTCAACAAATAAAAGTCATTCTTTTATGTGTATGATTATTGACATATGAGCAAGGATTAACTTTGAATTACTTGAGTCAGTGGTTGAGGAATAAGGAAGTATATGAAGGAACCTCAAGGGCACTTTTTTAAAAACCTCTTTAATAAAATAATAGGGATCTAAGTATTCCAAGTCACTTTTAAGACCATCTGGTATGCCCTGTTCAAGTTCAATATCGGAACCTATAGAAATGAATGGCTTATCAAGTGGATGATGTATAAGTTCAACCTATAATCGCAAAACACTGAGCGCAGACTTTAAAAATACCCATTGTAACTTACCTCACAAAAGACAAAAAATCCCCCACAAAAGCTACATCAACAGATCAAGGGAAACAATAACAGAATCAAAGAGACATTCAGTAGTACGGTATCCTTTTCCACAATTGCCGAGGCTGATAAAGCAGTTTGGTAAATCGTGTAAAAAGAGTGCCGAAAGAAATTGAAATCGCCGGGGTTGCAGGTTCAGCATTTCTCGTATGTTTAGACCCGCCAACATAGCGTCAGTAAAAGCAGTCAGTGAAATAAGAAATGATACCAAAAAAACTTGCTGAGAAGAAAAGAAGCACTGAGGTACTGACATGAAAATGTGAAACTATCTAACCTAACACAGCTTCAACCTCGGAAGCGTTCAAATCTTCTTTGAACGCAAATTCTTTAATCTTCTCCAACTTCGCACAGTACGGGGTTGGGTCGGCATCCAAAGGTCTGAAATAGAAGAAAAAAAATTGAAATTGTACGCATTTGATGCCCCCTTGCAACACTGTTGGGTTATTGAAGAGGTAGAACCTCCGAATTAAACTTCCATTTCAGATAAGAGCGAGCTAAATGGGAAAATTCTTACAAAGTGCTTTTCCCAAGGCCAAGTTGTTGGATCCAGCTGAGCCTTGAATATCCAAACCCATAATCTCATGGTTCCAAGTCTAGAAGCCTAACCACTAGACTACAGATGGAAGTGACAGAGAAATGTCACGAAAAAACAAAGGCAGGTGGGAAATTGCTCTTAGTTAAACTGTTTTTCATTACATTGTTTAATAATCCATACATGTTTCAATTACAAGCAATGATTTAACATTTTGTTCGGGTTTGCTCAAGCAATACTTCAAGAAATCTTGAAGTAAATACAGAGGAATATATAAAATATATATATACCCGGTACATGATGACAGAAAAAACATTCTCAAGAAACATGACAAAAGCCTGCTCCAAAGAAAATAAGTGTGGTGATGCCATGCCAACAATTTTATTAGAAAGATTGGAGAATTAGTTTCCAGGAGGACATGAAACCTCTCAAAAGATTCCAGTGTAAGATCCTTAAGCTCCACACAAAGTTTTGTTGTAAATGCTTTGTGCCCCATCAATAAACATAATAATTTAGAAGACAGGTTGCTGCCATCTTTTGCCCTGTCAAGGTTGACCAAGACGGATCCTACAATTTAACAATAACACTAGATAAAATACCTTCCCCACTCCAGAATCAAATTCAAACTTTTGGTAAGCAAGACAACACCCCACACCCCCACCCCCCAATTTCCTGTGAAATGATTCATTATGGTAGTTCACTAGACAAAAGCCATCTAAAAGTTCAGGAAAAGTTTTTGTCTGACACTGAAACATTCGAAAGTGAGAAACAAGAAAGAAGCGATCAAGTCACCTCTTTGGCACAACTTTCTTTGCAAGTGGTTCTGAACAGTCATTCGATTTCTCCTCAATAGGCTTCATTTTAGCAATGAGTGAGTCTAGAAACTTGTTGACATCAATACTCTGCCCTTGCGACATCCGCATTATCTCATCTATAGCAAAGACTTCAAGCATTGCCCCATGGATGGCAAGAGGATTGGTGTGTGTCAGTCGGGTGATGGAGTCAGTCAGACTCTGAAAGGAACATACCAAAAAAAAATAATAAAGACACAAAGAGAACAAAATGTACGGCATTAAGGTGAAATCAGACACTCGTCAAATTAATTATCGAAATGAAAGAAACCGACATTTTTCCACCCACACTTAGAGCAATTTTTGTCAATTTTTTTGTTTTGGGCTCAATACCTTTATGTCTATTCAAAACCACACAACAACTTGAATTTTACGGAAAAACAGTGACCAAAGACTGTAAATTTGCAGTTTCCATGGACACTATTGTACACAGCATTGGAAGTTACCAAACTTTGGCAGTCATTTTCTCACTACAATGTAATAAATTTTACCTCTGACAACAGGCAACCTCCACTTTCTTCAACTGCAGATATTTCGACTTGAATTTAAGATAAATGAGTAAATTTTTCATCAAAAGAAAGGCAAATGAACAGGTTTTAAGTTACACCAATAACTCCACAAGCCTAAAAACTGACCAAGTGCCTGATTCCACTATGAAATAGAAGTCTTTTGTGCTGACACCAGGATAAAAAACAAGATAAATGTCAGTGACCCTGAAGTGACTGTGATCTTACAAAAATGCTGTTTTCCTCAATGAAAATGCTAAGATTTACTTATTCCCAATCACTTTTAGGAATATTCTAATGGTGCTTTTACTATTCCGCTTTCCTTTTCACCCTGAGAAACTGTTCAACACATTTTTAACTCTTTTAGGACTCGCATTATGGTCTTTCATTAACGCTTAAAGGTGCACTATTTTGGGTTGTTGTTTAGTTTAATTAAGCATAATTTCATTACTCGTACAGATTTTTCAATTTTGTTTTCTTCATCTTAAACTTCGAAAGACAAACTGCAATGTGCACACTATGAAATATGCAAATTCATATTTCTGTTTTGTAATATGATTTGAAATGTGCCACAACATATCTTTCTGTTTGCTGTCAGACATGTCTGATACCTCCTTAAAGAGTTACAGTTCAACACCTGCATCCCCAATAAATAGGTCATCAGGTAGACAGGCTGCTTTGACCTTGCCCGTCAGGAGCAACCTGGATAATAAGGAGCACGTTCTAGCAGAAAGTATTGCAACTGGTTAGACATTTTACCCATGACAGAATTGTACTCACGTCCTTTGCTGGCAAGGTAAAAACCCTGATCACTAGGCAAAATATGCCACATAAGAAGCTTCTTGCATAAGCTTTTTTTCTTTACCAACAGGTATACATATACATGCTTCTACCATATAATGTACCAAAGACATCAATAATATGTACAAACCATTTCGTACACATACTTTAGAAACAGTAATAACAAATTTCTTACCTCTAATTTTGTAATGTCATTGTCAAAAAATGTAAAAAGGGGTGCTGGTGAAATTCTCATGGCTCCTCCATTGCCGTACGAGCCACTTCCATCAAACTGTTCACTGGCAGGCTTGAACACATCCTCAATGTCTGGGTCCCGCAGAGCCTTCAACACTGTGACAACATTGCCACCATAACCTCGGTCTGGCTCTGATCTAAACTCCTCAGCAAACCTAGTATTTAAAAAAATATTACAACCAACAAAAAAGAATAGAAAAGTAATATAATTTTTTTCCACCTTTTAACTCACTTCAGTTCGGCTACTTTCGATTTTGGAATGTGCCTTCTAGTATAGTCACTGAACCACACTAGTTTTTTCTTCTTAAGTAAGTACTTGTTGAAAAAAATTACAAATGGCCTTCAAGTAGATTAATATGATTGGAGAATTTATAGAAACCATGTATAAGTTACCATGACCTCAAACCTGGCAGCAGAATTCAGAGTTTCGTTCATCCTAAACCTGACAAGCTAAAACAAATAGACATTATCAAAGAACAATGAGTTCTTTGGGGTTTTTTTGTAAGATGACTTTAATTCCTCCTTCAGAAATCTGAGTTCTAAATTGAACAACATGCAGATTTAAAACCTACTGCAACAGCCCGCAATACATAGCAAACAATAAAAAGAAACCTGAATAGATATTTACCTATGTGCCAGGTCTCTAGCATCCAATTTATCCTTCTCTATGAGAGACGCTGCCACACTACGAGCCATCGCTGTGTCATCTGTGAACTGCAAACCATACACATCAGCTGGACGAGTGCCTGACTCTTTCTGTATCTTTCTCGCTGAAAATTGTGACAGAAATTTTATTTATTAACACTATACTATACATAGACAAAGAAAGCTTTAAACAAGGTAAAATTAGGTCTGTTCCTTCCTAAAAACCATAATGATTTTACTTTTTCTGCTTATGAATGTGTTAACACATTTACATCATTTTTATGACAAGTGAGTATGTCATCGTACATGGAAGTAAGGAATGCCATGCAGGCGCAATTACATTTTTGTATAAGTTGACATAAGACGTGATTATAACATGTTAACTAGATCTATATGCAAAAATCAAGTCAAACTTTAGGTATGTACATAAATAGTTGACGTGAATCAAATAAATGAGAGTAGAATTGCTTTCAGATAAAGTAATTACATTTTTGTGCCTAACGGTAAAAAAAAAGGACCAATAAAGATCAATTCAGCCCCTTTATCAATTGATATGCTCCAAACAGAAACTCAAACTAAGTTTTCAGTTGTCTAAATTCAGCTCTTTAGACAAATACCGGTAAAACATTCACTGCAGTGCAACCCTCCAGTACCTTCCAGACAATCCAGCCCATATTGTTAGATAACAAAATACATGTGTGTGGCATTGTGTGGCATCATGGTTGACCATTTGGCAAAATAATTAAATCAAAGAAACTGGCAACCTTTCCACCTGGTGGTGGACTTTATTGATTGTGTGAGTGTGTGTGAGTTGTGAGTGTGTGTGAGTTGTGTGTGTGTGTGTGTGTGTGTGTGTGTGTGTGTGTGTGTGTGTGTGTGTGTGTGTGTGTGTGTGTGTGTGTGCAAGCATGCGTGCAAGTGTATGTGAGGGAGGTCCATCTTAAAACATATTTTTAAGTTGATTTTAAAGAAAAACATTGATCAAAAATGCAAAAAAAATGTAAATTTGCAGTTTTCAAGGACACTCAAGCTTTCAAAGTCACCAACCTTTGGTAGTCATTTCCTCTCCAATTTTATCTATGACACCAAGCGACCCCCACCTCCTTCAATTGCAAGTATCTCAACCTACTCAAGATAGATGGGTATTTGTTTAATCAAGAGCAAGACAAATGAACAGGCTTTAACATTAGACCTTTTGTTTGGTTTTTTTGGTAAGTAGTTTACGGCACTCAAAACTGCATAAGTTCATACGAGTGCGCGGTAAACATTAAATATTTTTAGTTTGGTAGGAATTAATTTAGAATTTTGTCCGGATAGCAGCCGAAGCCTACTCTTATCGATTTTGGACCACCAAGGGATCTTTTAATGTGGGCAACTAGCACACGGGACCTCCCAGATTTTTCACCCTTATTTAAGAAGGCTAGGTGTTAGACCTTACCTACCTGAAGATTAGGGGTGTGGCTGAAAGACAACAGTAAGAGGGAGCCAAGGAGTAGGAGTAAAAAGAGTACAGAAATAGTCAGGCGACCAGAGGAGGGGGCAAAGGCGGTTGGGGTTGAAAGTGGAGACAAAAGCACAAGACAGAACATGGTTAGAGAGGAGGAAACAAAGTTAAATGAGAAAATTTAAAAGAAGAAAATTTTCCGTCGCTGTCAAGTTTCGAACCCAGGACCTTTTAAATGAGAGGTGAACACAGTAACCTCTATACCAACGAGAGCCCCAATAATTTCCTATACACCTAAAATTTAATAAGTGTCTGATTTTCCCATGCTATGACAAATTTGTACATATGCATCCTCCCTCATTTTTCTCTCTTCAGAATCAATAAGCAGGTCATGTCACATGCAACAGAATTCATCCTCCCCTGTTTCCAGAACATGGGTTCAAACTGCCCACACATATCACCACAAAAGCATTCTTATGAATAACTTTTATCTATCTTTCTCTTTCTACACTCCCTTATCTTAAGTTTTGAAAAAAGGAAAAACCTCAAAAGCAAATTGAGAAAGTAAAATTACCTTGTTTGAGTAAAGAGAAGCTCATTAACATAATAACACAGTGCTTGGAAAGAGTAAGAAAGACAGAAATAAGATAACAGAAGAAAAGAAAAGAAGTAGGACCTTCCAGTGGCACCCTCCAGTTCCCCGCATGTACTTACTTAAACACTCACCTTAACTAAGATATATAAAGACGTGCTGATAAAATGAGTTACTTCTCGCAATCCAAGAATGGAGATATCGGACAAAAATCAACACTGGGGTCAGATTTATAGATTTTCAGTTGATGCCATTTTGTTCAAGACTACCGTGTCTTTTATTATTCCATTCTTACAAATTGTACAAACTCCACCTATTAAGTTGATGTCAGTATCAATTTCCATTATAAGGCTAAAATCCGAGAAGTTACTCATTTGATCAGCACACCTCAATTAGGATATGGTCACACACAGAAGCCTACCTTTCTCAATTTTATGCTCCACTACACCAAGCACGTCCTTCAGTCTGACAACACGGATACCTTCAAATAGTGCTCCTATGCAGTCAGCCACAACTGCCCCGATCAAACTGCCTTTGAATCTCGACAAAGACATGTTGCAGAAGATTCTTGCTTTTTTCTGGACCTTTCCTTAAACAATGGAGAAAGACTGATAAACCCTCTACATTTCTAAAAAATAAAGAATTCTTATAGACAGCTCTTTAAATCCAAAGAACATTAACGAAACTGTCATAAACTATGATACATCTTACCTTCAGTGTTTCATGTTAATTTAACTTCTTTAAAAATTTTCAGTCCTATCACATCACCTTATCAGAAATACTTGTTAAGTTTACTCTGTATGCACCCATGGAAATGACTATACCCAGATTAACCTACAAACATAGACAAATTACAAACAATTGCAAATCACACATGAAGATTCACCCACTTACAACTTCTGTTTCATTACATTTAATGTAGTTCAAGGGCCTACTGTTTTCAAAGTAACTAGCTTAGTTTTATCAAGACTCGATTATTGTAACTCCTTGTTATCAGGAACATCACTGGAGAAAGTTAAAAGATTTCAAACTGTCCAAAACAATGCTGCATGTTTACTTTTACAGAAAAGAAATCAAGATTCTGCTACACCTCTTTTACGGACATTGCATTGCCTTCCTGTTGAAAAAGAATTGTGTACAAGTTGGCCACCCTATGCCACAAGTATTTGAATGATAATGCGCCATCATATTTATCAAATCTGTTGAGACTGTACATTCCAACTTGTAGTTTAAGGTCATCAGCTAACAAAAAGAAATTTCTTTTATCGTCTATGAAACTTAAAACAAAGGGTCATGAAAGAAAAGGCATTTGAATATCAAGGCCCCAAGATCTGGAATGCTTTGCCAAGTACTTTAAGAGAGATCAAATCCTTTGATTCACTCAAACATCAGCTGAAGTCATTATGTTTTTAAATTAATAGGATAAATATTTGGGGTGATTTTCTTTTGGTCAGAACACAACATTTTATGTTACTGTTGTATACTGTTGGCCCATTGTATTGTAAAGCGCTCAGAGTCAGTGTACCTTAATCGGGGTTATGAGCACAATATATGTCATTTATTATTTACTATTATTAAGTACCATGTCTTCACATTTACTATGACAATCTAAATTGCTCAGTTACATCAATTCATTAACTTCAAATAACAGTTTAAAACAACAGGTTCAGCTATCCAAACTAAATCTACACTCATTACTAAGAATAAAAAAATCAATTTCACAGAAAGTGTACTTTCATTTTAGAAGAATAAAATAATTTTTTGCAGTTGAATTGGGACTAGGTGAGGGGCAAAAATGCACGTTTAAAAGACAGCATTCATCAAATCCAAAATCTTCACTGTAAATTTAATTATAATAAAACTCAAGAATTTTGACTTTTCCTTTAGCATACAAAATGGTCAAATCTTGCTGTGGGATGAAAAGACATATTTAATCAGTAGCCTATAATTTTCAAACATCTTTTAAAAATATAGATCTAGGGAACAGAACAAAATGAAGACAAAAAAAAATAAAGATAGCTTAATTGCCATCAAAGACAGCATATTCCTTTCCGGTAGGCCTTATCTGAGAATTTTAGAAGGACACAGACTATAATCATGGACAGTGATGGTTAGCAGGAAGTAATGAGAATAAAACAATTATGAGTCATTCGTCTCTTTCAGTTTCACTCTTTCATTCAATTCCCGTGTTCTCTCCCGCGGCTCATCCCCGTCCGCATGACTTTCATACCCCACCCCATCCCTCCAGGCACACACAAAGAAAATCTCACTTGTTCCCTGCGAACCATGGACAATAATATAGGCAAAACACCGCCTGAGCTGCATTCCTTTTGTTCGTGAGCTGTGGACCAGGCCAGGGGTGGTCAGTGTCGTCGTCTTGTAGTTGCTGTCACCTGTGGATACACTCGCACATTCTTCCTTTCACCCGCTCTTTCACTCACACTGTCTCTCCATCCACAGTTCAGCTCGTCATACGTTCAAAAGTTGCCCACTAGTTATGTTTAGTTAGTGTGTGTACATGTGCATGATGGTGGTGGGTGTGTGGTGGGTGTTACTGAAGGTTGTCTGTAGGCGGGCTTGCCATGCGGTACGCGTTCCTTCCCAGACCAGAGGCAGAATGAAAGTTGGCGCCGAACTCTCGCAATAAATAGGCAAAAAATCACGAGACCGGAAGCCGAAAACCGTTCGGAGAAATAAAGATCGGCACTATTTCTCCGAACGTTCGGAGAAATAGTCACTTCGTAATAATAACATGTGTATATTTGTGATTTAGATCTAGATCTCTAGAGTTTCTAATCTAGATAATCTAGAAATCTAGTCTAAATCTAGAATCTAGATTTCTAAATCTACTTACTTTGTTGAAGGAACACTGTGTTATGATGAACGCTAGATCTAGATCTAAAACTAGATCTCTAGATCTAGATCTAGATTCTAGATCTAGATATAGATATCTAGATCTATATATCTAGATCTAGATCTAGATATCTATATAATATCTGCCTCTCTTTGACTTTGACTTCTATCCTAAATATTGATGAGAATAGCCAAAGGCGACATCAATCTCCAAAAACTGACAGGGCTATTCGACATCAAAATCAAAGAGAACTTACGTCAACGATGGCGACAACTTCGGCCCAATGGTCTGTCTCTCTCACCCTCGCTCCAAAGTCCCCGATAAAATCTGTCTCCGCGGGCCGCGGTTCTCAGAACACTTTTCAACACAGCATCCGTCTCTAGGAATACTACTCTAGCAGTTGTAGCAGTTTAGCTACTTGGTGGGAAGACTTTTTCGAAGCTTTCTGACTGCTTTGGTTTATAATATACGGAGATTCCACTCTCAAGACCAAATCAACCGATACTGGAACAATGATTGTGTACCATGATTGAGCATGTACATATGAAGGCAGAAACAATACATAAAGGATGTTATTGAGCCTACTCTAACAGCGACCCGTCCAAGACAACCACTGTCCAAAAGACCCCTTCTTACTAATTCCCTGCTTGCAGTTTTTAAAATACATGTGTGTAGAAATGTACACCACAAAAGACGTACAGGCCTACCTATCTAAGACAACCGGTTTTCTCCTCAACAATGCGTGCTGTCTTAGATAATTTAAACTGTATTTTAATAGGTGTCTTTCAGTGGCGGCTCGTGGTTTATAGAACTGACCGGCCATTATTCACATCGACTCTTTCTCCCTCCTCCACCCCCTTCCTTCATAACACTCTCTCTCTCA